TAGCGTGTGTGTAGAAATAGTGTATGATCATATCACGCGGAACATGGTGTCGTGGTGTAAGAAACATATTACATGTGGGCAATCCTGACTAAAATATTTTTGGCGGTTTACCAGTGCATGCTCAAGCAAATCAATGGGTTTTAAAACGCATTAGGCCACTGATTATATCCAAGCCATTCAGACTAACAATTCTTTGTCGAAATAACGATTAATTGTTATACGCACAATAACGCATTACGATAAAACGAGTAGGAAAATAACATTAGTCTATGTATAGTGAGTCCACCGTATGTTCAAGAGCTACATAATTAACACAGATTTAAGTTAATTAAATTTTACGTAATCATTTCATTATAAACCAAGTATATCAGCGGCTTGTATAATTATAATTTGCGAGGCTTACGTGTTGGATGGGGCTATATGGTTCTTCGGACGCGAACATTCACCTTTGGCGCGGTCGAAGGTCCGTTGGGATGTTCCCACCGAACAAGGGGTCCTTCGCTTCATCCCATAGTGATGGCTTGTTCTCGCTCTCATCCATTAAACCCTGCTGCTGGGCCACGACATGGTCAAGAAGAACAGTGATAGATGATTAGACTAATTAGATGCAAAGTAAGATATAAAACCAACGAGAAGCGGACGCCATATATGGTACGGTCGTGTCCGTGTGTACGGGTTTCGATTTTGGTCCGTCTACTAGCTCTACTGCGGTGTGGAATGCCCTTCGCATAACCGCTCGCGCGCTTTAAGGGCAGCTGTGTGATACGGTAAAGCAACCCGCGCGTATAAGGAACATAGATTTGTAAGAAAATGTTAGGCGAGCTAAATTTCCCAGTTTAGAGCCCAATTGACGATCAAGAACCTGTTTTGTATGGGCTAAGATTTCTAAAGTAGGTTCTTAATTTTCCATTTTATTTCACCCCGCAATTTTTTTTCAGTCCTCCATTTTTGGCATGTCTTGTTTTATTCGCTTGGATACAAATAACTAGTATCATACAGCTAATGGTATTGCACTGAAGTAGAACCTTAGCAGCTTCGAGTAGCGCCATAGTCACTTGGGCGTCTTATATTTAGCAAAAATTGCAGTGTCGGCTTTGTCAAGGAACAATTTTAAACACAGATTTGAGATCGAAGTAGTATTTGCTAAGTACATCGAAACAAGTGTAAGACTCTAATCTGTAGATACGCTTTTGAGGGCCTAATTTTGCAGTAATCAACCATTTGATATAACAGAAAACTATGTAGAGGGTCTAACTTGGAAAAAATCTATGGTTGCTTGTAGTACGCGAGGTTTTTACATGCTCATTGTAGCTGCTGTCTAGGAGAACAGTAGCCGTGAGCCACGTGTGGTGTATGATAGGTTTGCACGTGCACACTTCAGCTGGGCACCTTTGAGTTTTTGGCAACGAAGAAAGCAACCATGGGCTTGCGAGTTTTGTTGGCCGGGCTTCGCAAAAACCAAAGGTCTGCGATGTATAAGGGTGCGTGCGAAAGTGAATTTGATTGCTTACTACTGAAGAGAAAATAGTATCCGGCGGTAATTACTTTGCTTAGTATCGCCAGCGTTTGTTTGCATGCAAAGCAATCTTGCTCCCTTCTCGTTATCATATATAATAATTATATATATATATATATATAATATATGTACTTATGGCTGTGTTATACATAGTACAGCACGACCCAATATACAACAGCCCGATACAGGTTTGAACCAAACCGCAAACATCAGGGAACCGTTCGTCAGACTCCCATTCACGCCGTGGTGGTACTGACTCACGGGTCAACACTGCCACGCCGCAGATCAACAAGTTTTTTTTAATCCTTAATAACAGTTACTAAACTACTACACAACAACAGTCGAGGCGCATTATCATTGTCAAACCAAGCTGTTTCCAGAAGCTGGGGAACATATTTCGCCACATTCAGGTTGTGGCATCGGGCCCCTTAGCGGAGTCCGCCTTCAGCGCACGATCCAACCATGCGCGCACACCCCACGAACGCGGGAAGGTAGCAGCGAGCGACCAACCACCCTCCGACCCCTCTGATGCTGCGGGGCCGAGAGTCGGTAGCTATGGCTTTTGAAAGGCTTGTTTCACGTCGGGCCGCCACCCGCTTTCATCTATAGAAGGCGCAGATGGATCCAGCCGGAGGCTTTGGCTAATCGCGCCGAGCAGAATGTGGCGTTGCTAATTTTGAACAGTTTGCCAATATCGCTACAGACGCTGTATATAGAGGAAAACTGAATGCAGCGTGTGAGAGAGAGAGGGAAAGAAAGAGAGAGAGAAAGAGAGAAGAGAGAGCAGACCAGAGAGAAGCAGAGAGAGAGAAGAGAGAGAGAGAGCAGAGCGAGAGAGAGAAGAGAGGAGAAGAGAGGGGAGAGGAAGACGCTTGCCACTATACTCGACCTGAAGGGAAGAAGGTCAAAGAAGGTGGGACTAGTGGAGAGATAAGCAGGGGACGCCCTTCCCCACCGCGAACACCGACCACGCGCCGGAAAGGAGAAGGAGAGGGGGTTACAAGAAGAAAGAGGAGAGAGAGAGACGGTCAGAGACGGATGGACAAGTCGGACGCGCAATCGTATGGGGCGGGTTATGGAATAGATGTGACCTGGAGATATCATATATTACTATATCTATACTACTTATCATATTTGCTCAGCTTACGGCCCTGCGTGTGCACTATGTTTAGCGGCATATCTGTACGTAGTACGAAGGAACGTGGCGTGTATACAAAAAATATTTGCTGACGCAGGTTAATTTTTTAAGTGGTGATGATCATATTGCGGAGCAAGCACACGCCGCACATTACGTTTTAGAGCGACTGACTATTTTCTTCTCACAGGAACAGCACAATGATTATTGATCGTATCACGAAAGAGGACAGGGGCATATACGTGTGCGTAGCTGACAACCAGGTCGGCGATGGTGACCGAAGACCTGTGAAGGTGAAAGTCGAATGTAAGTGTTCAACATCTCATAATGAAATCTTCTGTTTATATATGGTATATGTGTACGACGTTCGTTACATATCTCAGGCTGTGTGAGTATTGTCCCTTCAAACTCTTGCAGTCAAACAACATATGTATGTATATATATATATATATATATATATATATATATATATATATATATATATATAACCTTATATATATATATGAACGAGAGAGCAAGATTGCTTGGCATGCAAACAAAACGTTACATTTACAAAGTCATTACGCCGATACTAAGTAACAATCAAATTCATTTCGCAGGCACTATACTATGCAACCTTGGTTTTTGCCGAAGCCGCAAAAACGCTGCCATGTTGCTTTCTTCGGCTTGCAAAAACTAAGTGGTGAAGTGTGCACGTGCAAACCTATATACACACACGTGCCGGCTACTGTTTCTAGACAGCAGCTACAATATAACACAGCTGCTAAAGCGCCTGACTTATAGCTCTACCGGTGTCGACCCTTCGCTCCCGCTACAGGCGTATGCGAAGGGGCTACACCAGTAGAGCTAGTAAGGACCAAAATCGAAAGCGTACACACGGAAGACCGTATATATATGCGTCCCTTCTCGTTGTATTTATATTTACTTTGCATCTAATTATCTAATCATCTAATTATGTTTTCTTGCAGTCGTGGCCCAGCAGGCAGGGTTTGATGATGAGAGGAGACCAGCCATCACATGGATGAGCAAGGACCTTGTTGTGGACATCGGTGACGCCGCCAAAGTTGAATGTCGCGTCAAGAACATAGGCATCAACACCGTAAGCCTCGCATTAAATATACCAAGCGCTGATAATACGGCTATTTAATGTAAAATGATACGTAAATTTATTAATTAAACGTATTATTAGCTCTTGAACATACGCGGATCAGCTATACATAGACTAATGTTATAGTCCTACTCGGTTTATCGTAATGCGCTATTGTGGAAACAATTAACGTTATTTCGACAAGAATTGTTAGTCTGAATGGTTTGGTATAAAGTGACTAATGCGTTAAAATCCATTATTTGTTGAGCATGCACTGGGAAACCGCAAAAATATTTAGCAGGATTGCACATGTAATATTGCTACACCACGACCCAGTGTTCCCCGGATTTCATGATATACATATTTACACACACGCACGCACGCACGCACGCACACACGCACGCACGTACACACACATGTATATATTATGATGATGTCATACATGATGTGATTATCATTATGTAACATATTAATTATAAACGATATCAATAAAGATGTTTGATGATGGCCCACATAAACACCATCATTAACCCCCAACGGCAGCAGCGCATCGCACATGATGCATCATCAAGTCATCACCGTACCCGATACCCCGATAGCCGATACTCCTGGTGGCATAGCAGCTATAGGTGAAGCCCTCCTAACTCTTCTCTCGTCGCGAACAGGTGGTGTGGATGCACATACAGCAGAACGGCGTGGCCAGACCACTGACCAGCGGTCTGACGCGCATGATCCGCGATGACCGCTTCAACGTCAGGATCGAGGAGAACGGAGAACTCTACGTACTCGACATAGCCGAGGTCAGTATCGAGACGTGCCAACATCAGGAGTGTCATATAATTATAAATATCAGGAGTGTATGATATATATATATAGAGACTAGTATATGGACTATTATATATAATAGAGACTATTATCTACAGATACTATCAGGCGTGAATAATAATAGATCTAATAATCTATTATTATTATTATTATTATTATTATTATTATTATTATTCACTCCTGATACTATTATTGTGACACTCCTGCCTGCCCTACTGCCCTACTGCCTGTCTATATTACGACACTCCTGCTGCTGTCGTCATCGTGATGAATGAGGCATTTAAATCCTAATTATCTAATAAAAATTAATCTCTCGAATCTCGATGTTTGGATGAATAATAAATCTTAATACACCTCGAGGGTGTGATCGCGAGGCACTCGGTGAGTTAGTCTCGCGGGTGAGTGTGAGAAGTGCCTGGATGGTGTGGGTATTGGAGGCAGGCGTGTGCCTGTGTACGGGCGCGCGCGTGTGTATATGTACGTGTCCATGCGCGCGCGCGTGTGTGCCCATGAATGTGTGCGTGCCTGTCGTGTGTGTGTGTGTGTGCGTGCGTGCGTGCGTGCGTGCGTGCGTGCGTGCGTGTGTGTGTGTCAGTGCCTGCGTTGTGTGCGGTCTTGTGTCTCGGCGTGTGCGTGCTTACGAGGCGTTTTTTGGTCAGCGCCGCGCGTGTCTTTTTGTGCGTGCGAAGTGCGTGCGTTGTATTTTTGTGTTGGTAACCAGCGTGTGTGCCTCGTCCATGGTGATCAGTTATCCGATGTTTACAGGTGAGAGAAGAGGATTCTGGACCGTACCAGTGTCAAATCACCTACTCGTCACCAGTCTACAGAAACGTGATGATCAGCATTAAGCGTACGTATTATTTACGCTGTGGCTATATGCCCGGCAGCCGGGCAAGGTCTTCGATTTCCTAAAAACCGGGTTTCCTAAATGCCCGGCAGTTCCTAACCCTAACCCTAACCCTAACACTAACCCTAACCCTTGTTT